ATTAATTATCTATGCGTCTGATTAAAAAATGGCTGAGGACTTTTCGTCTCAGAATAATTTCCTCTTTCGATCCCTACAAGGAAGTGCGTGACTTCTGGGACACCCTGTATATATATACGATATAACGCGGCTTGTCACGACGATAGCGTCAACAATTCTTAAGGGATCTCAATGAAACTCAACATACTTATTCTATCGACTATGAGGAAGGTGAAGTTCAAATATGAGCTTAATCGGTCAAATAGTTTAGAAATTACAGCATTTAAAAATTTTAAAATCTTGAAAATTTGATACTTTCACTACTTCTCCTTCAAATAACTTTTGAACGCGTCAAGTTATTCGATTTCTGTAAAATGCATCTGAAAGCTGAGAAATTAAGCTTCAATTTATGTGCTCACATTTTTTTCTAAAGCGACAAAATATCCATCTTAGGATCATTTTTAAGAAATTTTACTCTTGCAGTCGTTTTGTCTATACAGAACTGACTGAAAAGTACTGAAGTACAATAATTCTTCTTTTTTTTTATTGAACGTTATTTATTTTTTTTTTATATCGTTAGTTGTTTTTAATTCTTTTCATCATGAAATCTACTTCCATTTCGGCTGCCGAATGGCCTTTTTTTGGTTCCAAGTAGTTTTTTAGCTCCATCAAGGTCTTTTTGCATTTTAGCGATTTATTGACTGATCTTTAGCCCTCCAAGACCCGAATCTTGGCGTAAAATACTTGTATTTAATTCATTCTCCATCACTGAAATTTTTTTTTCAATTGCATCTGGTGCTGGAGTAGGATGAGATGTTGATTGTGATTTATCAGGAATCGTCTCTTTTGGAATCAATGCGTGTGCCTTATCTACTTCTCTCATGCATAACGCCACAGAGGAATCTGTCGAGTTTTTGTCCATCAAAGCAAGGGGTCCACTAGATACATTTTGCTGTAAAAAGTAATTTTGATTATAGTTTATAATAAAAAGCAAAATATGCATAACTAATAACTTTGTTTGAGTAGATTTTAACAGATAAAAATTACTTAAAAATAGTATTAAAACATTAATAACATTTAAAAAAAAATATATAGAAATAATGGACCAACTAACCTGTTTAAAGAAAAACCGAGAATGTTGGTTTTTCTTTTTAGCAGCAAGCTGTTTTAAATCATTTATTTTTTGAGATCTAAGTTTTCTAAAAGCACTGTCATCATTTTTGAAAACTTCTTTGTTGTTTGTCCAGAGTAAGTTTGACTCTGGTTGACAAACTTTTAGTGTTTTATCTAGGAAAGCTCCTATCCATGCTTTAAATAACAGTGGATATTTATTAAGATTTCAAGTAACAGGAAAATTCCCGGTCAACGAGAACAACAATAGAATAATAGAAAGTCTAGAAGTACTGAGAACATATGATTTTTGTAAGATTCAATATCGAGTTAAAGAGAAGAAGTACAGATGGTGCTATTCAATAACGCAGTTTTTTATCACGAAAGTGGTAGAATTTTCAATTTCAAATCTTACGAAATTTTAGATTCTCTGCCCCCCCCCCTACCTATAGTAAGAAGTTATAGTATTCAGTCAACACACCCCCCTCCCCTAAACGCCAGGTAACCATGCACAACAACTGAAATCATTCTATTAACTAGAAGTTGTAACAGGGTAAAATTATACCCTGCATCGATAAGTCACCAGTTATCGATAATTGTGCGACACAGCACTGGCGCGTCTCGATCTTCGGGCATTTTAGGTAGTGGGGAGAGGGACGATGGGTCGGGAGCCGAGTGCAAGTGAGTTGCGACCGGCGAGACGACAAGACAGAAGAGGTTGTACTACCGAACGTTCCGGACGCAAATTGGAAAACTCAGGAACAATTGTTGCGGTTGGAAAGCAGTACAAATCCCCGAGAGTACGAGCAACGACGAGGCGGCAGCAGAACAAAGCTGTGGCTGTAAGTTGGCGGGAAGTAGTTCGTCGATTGCAAGGTACATTGTCAAGTCTCGTAGGCAAAATTCGACTGTGGTTAGCACCCGGTCTTATTTCCTCTTCTGGACAAGGTTTAATTATTTAATTGGGTTTATAAATTAAAATAATTATTGGGTTTTATTAATTAAATTAATTATTGGTTAAAATAAAATTGCTAGAAAATTCTGTGGTCCGACACCCGGAAAATATTAGTTGACCTTGAGGCGAGTTTTGTGTTAAGAGAATTACGAGCCATTTTGTAGTCAATTTTATTAAATTAATTTAATTGTTTATTAATAATTTTCGGTTAAGTATTTTTACTTGTTTATAACAAATATAAATAATGCTGTGAAGCGGGAAAGAATAGAAGTTACGGATAATTATTACGTGAAGCGTAAT